GATTTCTCACAACTTGAATTTTATTATATCAAAGTAAGGACCCGCTTCGGTCTTACAATCTTGATCACACTTGTTGCTTGCTTCAGCAACACTCTTGACTTAGCACTCACTCTTGTTTTCTCTCTTACTTTCTTTCTTGCTTTCTTACTTTGTTTCTTGCTTTCTTTCTTGATTGCGTACAACTCAAATGGACCACCTCTATTTATAGGAGGTGATGGAAGAATCTAGAGAGATACATACTACTCTATTCTAGAATATTCCTAACTATCTTTTTCTAGAACTATTCTTTCTAGAACATTTCTAGACTATTCTTTCTAGAATACTCATTCTAGAGATCTTCCTTCAATTCTCTACACCTCCGGAATATTCTAGATTTTTCTTGATTTATCTTAAGTAAAGAATTAAGTTGGTGATGAATTCTTAACATTAGTGACCACTGTCCAGCAAAAGTAATCTTAACAGAAGAATGCAGAACCAGGAAGCCATTTCAGTTTTGTAATGTGCGGGCCAAACGTTGACAATTCCAATCTGTTGTGAATGAAGGATGGGATGAAAATATAGAAGGTTGTATGATGTACAAAGTGGTGAGAAGATTGAAGTTGTTAAAGAGAAAGCTGAAGGTGCTACACTCACAGTCTTTCCAGAACATAGTGAATGAAGCCAATGGAGATAGAGAAAAACGGAAACAAGCACAACTACAATTGCAGAGTAACCCGCACAACTTGGATTATCAACAGTTGGAAAGCCAGTTGTATGAGAAATTTAGAACCTCTTCTTATCTGGCTGAAGTATTTTTACAACAAAGGAGCAAAGCAACATGGATAAGGTTGGGTGATGATAATACTAGGTACTTTTATTCAGTTATTAAGCATAGGAAGCTGAAGCATGCTACAACTCAACTGAAAAATTCATCAGGAGAATGGCAATATGATCCTACTAGTATTGCAAAAGTAATTGTGGAATATTATGAGGATATCCTGGGAAAGAAGTCCCTGCAGAGAATACCAGCAATAGGAGAATTGATGAGTCATGGGGTGGTGCTTAATGAGGAGCAACAGAGTGAACTAGTGCATAGGTTTGAACCAGCAGCAGTAAAGACATCAATGTTTCAGATTGATAGTAATAAAAGTCCTGGACCAGATGGATTTAGTAGTGGATTTTACAAAGCAGCTTGGTCTATTGTGGGGCAAGATGTTACTACGCCAGTGCTGGAATTCTTCCAAAACAGCAAGTTACTAAGACAAATCAATTCAACAAGTATTGCACTCATCCCAAAGATAGAGGTACCTGAATTTGCCAGTCAATTTAGACCAATATCTTGTTGTAATGTCATATACAAGTGCATATCAAAATTGATTTGTAGCAGATTGAAGAAAGCAGTGAATCTGATAGTAGCAAAAAACCAATCAGCATTTGTCCAGGGAAGAGCAATGATGCATAATGTTTTGATTTGTCACGATATTCTAAGACACTACAATAGGAAGAATGCCTCACCTAGGTGTCTTATGAAAATTGATTTGAAGAAAGCCTATGACATGGTAAGTTGGGAGGTTTTAGAGGAAGTACTTAGAGGTTTTGGGTTTCCAGAAAAGTTTATTAAGTGGACTATGCTATGTGTTTCCACTACAATGTTTTCAGTAAAAGTCAATGGAGGGAATCATGGTTTCTTTGCTGGTAAGAGAGGTCTTAAGCAAGGAGATCCTATATCGCCTTTGTTGTTTGTGTTAGTAATGGAGTACTTGTCAAGAACACTTAAAACAATGAGTCTGTTGCCTGATTTTGGACTCCATCCAATGTGCAAAGAGTTGAAACTCACTCATCTAATATTTGCTGATGACTTAATGATTTTTTGTAAAGGAAATTTGGCTTCAGTAAATAGAGTGATGGAGGCATTAAATCTCTTTAGTGCTGCCACAGGTTTGGAGGCTAACATGGAAAAATCAAGTGTTTTTATGGCTGGTGTGGATGAGGAAACAAGGGATCAGATCTTGGCTAGAACCGGTTTCTCGAGGGGTGAATTTCCTATTAAATATTTGGGACTTCCACTATCGCCAAGAAAGTGGAATAAAGTTGATTGCTTCTTACTGATTGATAAGATTACTCACAGAATTACCGTGACTTATTCAAAACAACTATCCTATGCTGGTAGACTGCAGGTGATAAATGCAGTATTATTTTCCATCCATAGTTTTTGGGGGGCAGTGTTTATCCTACCCCAAAGCATACTTAAAGAAGTAGACAAGATTTGTAGGACTTACTTGTGGAGCAAAGCTAATGATAAGAGAAAGATAGCTCTAGTATCTTGGGAAAAAATCTGTTATCCAAAGAGACAAGGTGGATTAAATATCAAAAGTAGCAGCATCTGGAATATTGCATCAGTAGGAAATTGTTATGGCAATAATTGAGGAAAAGGAGTCCCTATGGGTAAAGTGGATACATGGGATATATATGAAAGATGGAGCAACAATATGGAAACATAATACACCTGTAGATTGTAGCTGGTATTGGAGGCAGCTAAATGCAATCAAGGTCCAAATGCGGGGTTGGTATAACCAAGGAAGATACATGCTCACACAAACTGGAAAATATTCCATCACTAGCAGTTACTTAGCACTGATTGGCCAACAACCACGTATGAGAACTGCTGAGCTAGCGTGGACATCTATGGCTCTACCTAAACATAGATTCATAACGTGGTTGGCTGTACAAGGAAGATTACTCACGCAGGAGAGGAAACTGAAATTACACATTCAGGTGGAGGACACTGATTGCTGCCTTTGTGATAAGAAGGTCATGGAGACTACAATACACTTATTTGTGAAGTGTGAGTGGGCACAGGCTATATGGAAAGAGGTGGAAAAATGGACAGGAATAGCGTTGCAAATCAATGGGATCAAGCAGACACTGGAAAGAATAAGGTTGAAGCACTGGAAGAAAGTTAAGAAGGAGACTATTGCGGCTACTTGTGGAGCAATCGTATATCACATATGGAGAGCCAGGAATTGGAAAAAGTTCAAAGGCAAGTCTGTACATATAAAGGAGGCGGCAACACAGATCAAAAAGGAGATTATAGAGAGATTATAATTTCTTAGTAGTTCAAAGAAAACACAGAGTTGTAGGAGTTTTGTTCAACTTTTACTTTGTAATTAAGTTTTTTGCTTTGTAGGAGGCCTAATCCTTGTTACAAGGCATAGGTGCTCTTTATTTGTACGAATTTTGATGGTAATGGTAATCTTTTACAGTTGTTTACCAAAACAATCAATATATCCGTATTGAAGGAAGTTAGTTAGTTAGTTAGGCTGACCTTTTTTGTTAATTAGTTGTTAGCCTTAGTTAGTGGAAGATCAAAGTTAGTTAGACTAATAACTGACTTTGATGCTGAGCTGTATCTAGTGGTGATGATTAGTTGATCACACTATAAATACTTGCATGTGGTTGTACAGAAGAGTTAGACCAATACGAAATAATATTCTCCTTTTTATCTTCTCTCAAACACACTTCCGCCATTAATAGATCTTGAACTCACAAGCTAAGTATGAAAACTGACATGGTATCAGAGCAGTCGTGACTTGGATCATACGCTTAAATCAAATAGGATTTTCAATTGCGATTACAAATGGCTGGAAACTCATGAACAAAAGCAGTTGAAGATCGACAGACTCAGGTAACTGCTGAGAAAATCAATAATACACATTCATTCATTGTTTGTTCATTCGCCAGATACTCCAGAATCAGTGTTAATTCCCACAAAATTAAAATAGAGCTTGAACTCACAAGCTAAGTATGAAAATTGACATGGTATCAGAGCAGTCGTGACTTGGATCATACGCTCAAATCAAATAGGATTTTCAATTGCGATTACAAATGGCTGGAAACTCATGAACAAAAGCAGCTGAAGATCGACAGACTCAGGTAACTGCTGAGAAAATTAATAATACACATTCATTTATTGTTTGTTCATCCGTCAGATACTCCAGAATCAGTGTTAATTCCCACAAAATTAACCGGATCTAAAAATTACGGGTTACGGAGACGATCTATGACGATTGCCTTGCTAGCAAAAAGAAAATTGGGATTTGTTAATGGGACCTGTAAGAAGGATCAATTCGGTACTGATCTACATGAAGATTGGGAGACCTGCAATGCAATTGTCCTGTCCAGGATCATGAATACAGTTTCTGCACATCTTCTTAGTAGGATCGTGTATTCGTCAAATGCGCATCTTGTATGAGAGGATCTGAAGAAGAGATTCGATAAGGTAAATAGAATTTGAATTTTCCAGTTACATCAAGAGATCGCGACGATATCACAAGTAACTGATTCTGTATCTACGTATTTTACAAGTCTGAGAGAACTTTGGGCTGAATATGATGATGTGGTTCCCACACCTGGATGTAATTACGTGAAATCTAGGGATTACATTAAACACTTACAGGGCCAGAGATTACTGCAGTTTCTTAATGGTTTGAATGACTCTTATGAGCAAGTACGCAGGCAATTGTTGCTCAAAACTGTTGAACCATCACTAAATCAAGCATATGCAATGCTTAGAGAAGATGAAAGCCAAAGATCATGTCCATGAACCTCTTGCCTTGAAAATCAATAGAGGCCAACCTTATAGAGGTAAGAAGCCCTTTGTCAAGTGTGATAATTGTGGACGAGGAGGACACGTGAAAGCAGATTGCTACTGGTTAATTGGTCGTCCAGAAGAACAAAAAAGGGTTCCTGATGATGACTTCAGGAAGAAGAACTATGCTGCAAATAATAACAACAAACAATACAATCCACATTTTGAGAGATAGGAGAACTTCAATGCAAATAATGTTGTGAGTGATGATAGGAGACACTATGCAGTTGAAAATGAAGGGAGCTGCTCAATGAAGAATGGAGCTGGTAATCAGGCCTTCACAGATGAACAATACAAACAACTGGAACAATTATATGGGAGAAGTGGTCCTATGTTTTCAGATGAACAATACAAGCAGATTCAGGAAATGATGAATGATAAGAATGAGCATATAGACCAGCACAACCTGGCAGGTACTGTTACATCTCTATTAACTGCATTCTCTTCAAAGTTCAAAGGAATGGATCATAGATTCTGGTGCCACTCATCATGTTGCATCTAATCTGGGCATGCTAAATGATCCAATTGAGATTCACTGTTCTAGTAATCAACAGATTCACTTACCAAATGGTGGAAAGTCTAATATCACTCATATAGAAAATTACTGAGTTCCTAGAAGGCCTGAAGGTTGACAATGTTTTATGTGTCCCAGACTTTAAATTCAACTTGATATCAGTTTCCAAACTAACCAAGAGCATGTCCTGCTCTGTCACATTTTCCCTAACTTTTGTATATTTCAGAATCTTTACAATGGTAGGGTGAGGGGGATTGGTAAAGAGGAAGGAATCTTGTACATTGTCAAGTCTCATGATGTGTACTCAACTAATAGTGCCAAACTTTCTTCAGTTAAAGCAGGGGATACTGAACTTTGGCACCAAAGACTAGGTCATCCTTCATTACAAGTCATGAAGAGACTTGGGTTGATTTAGAAAACAGACTCAAATAGTTTTGCAACTACAGATTGCCCAGTATGTCCATTAGCTAAGCAAAGTAGATTGGTATTTCCAACTAGCTTCTCTAGAAGTCATTTTCCTTAGAATTGATACATCTTGATGTATGGGATCCTTACAAGACTCCTACTCATGATAAAAAGAGTTTTTTCCTCTCTATTGTTGATGATATCCACTTGAAAGTTCAAAATGTCAAGAAAGTGAAAGGAAGCCATACTGTTTTGTTATTCACTACACCACCCTCAGTTCACAATGCACCTCAAAAGCACTTGTTGGATTTCCAAAAGATTCATTTTACACCACAAGGTGAAGAGTTGTTTAAGTTCAACTTAGATGCTTGCAAGCATTTGAGTGTAGTGTATGAAGTTGGAAACATGAAAGTTATTTTAGGATTACATGTGCTACATATAGGAGATTCGAAACATTCCTTGACGGTGAGGATTTAAAGAAATCTTCATGGTCCTTAATTATTTTTAGTTCTTTTTTCACAAAATAGAAATTGTGAAATTATTGAGGCAATTGTAACAAAGAATCTCATTTTGTCAGGTGTCCAACTTATTAGAAGAACCAAAATATTAAAGTTGTATGAAATTTCTTATTTTGTTATTATTTCTCTTCCATTTTATTTTCGACCCATTTCCATGGTTTAATATATGTAGTATTTTTTATTATATTAAATAAAAAGAAGGTCAACGTAACTCTATACCATCTCGAGATCATACTTTATGATGTTACATTAGATTTGTTATTAATAGTTATTGTAAAATTGCTTTCGAATGGCGCCCTACCTTTAACTATACAAAGTAGTAAATACATATATAAGATTATTTGTAGACAAAATCCAACTTTCACATGTAAGAGTCGATAGTCCAATATTATGGATATTCATGTGGCATTGCTGATAAACCACTAGTCCTGAGATAGTCTAATATTATGGATATTCATATGGTATTGTTGATAAACTTTTCACTGCTGGTATAATTGATATATCATACAATATGGATTAAAATTGAATCAATGGTTAGTTAATCTTTTCTGCAATCATAAGCCTGTTAAAGAGTGTTTACACATGTAATTTTTTATGAGATTTTTTATTTTATTTTCAAAAAATTAAAGTTGTTTGACCAAATAGTAAAATTATTATTTTTAAATAGAACTAAGAGTGAGAAGAAACTAAACATCTCTCTTCTTAAACAGACAAAAGCAAAAAATTATTTGCAATACACAAACATTCCTATCATTTGTACATATTTATCTGTATATCCTCATCAATTTATTAACATGTGTAGTGATTTAGTTTATGGAATGATTTTTAAAGTTATTTGATTAATGCTTTATAGTATTTTAAAGCATTAGTTAATATTGTATGACTATTTAATATTTTCTTTAATTTATCTATTATATTAATTTAAGTTTTTCATAATTGATATTCAAAATATTTTTCTCTTCACTAATTTAGTAGTAAAAGTTCATCATATTTGTCCTTTTTCGTAATTTGACTTTCAAAAACATTTTTAATAAAAAGGTTAATCAAATATGGTAATCAAAAATAATTTTCAACTGAATTAACAAAAAATAATTTATTTTTTTCTAAACACACTTTCCTGAAAAGCTTTTTTTAGCGGTTTTGCCAAACACAAATAGGAAAAAATAGAATATAATTTAATAAGACGTAAAAAAGAAAAAGGAATAAATGTACATTTTTTAGGAATCCCATAGTGTAAGGAGCAAATTACATCATATCCCTACTCTTTTCAAATTTACAGAAATCCCCTAAAATCGATGTCATCCGAATACATTCATTTTTTCGGATACATCACGTTTGATAAATTATACAACTAGTTTGTTGAGATTAAAAAGGAAATTAAATATAAAATTTAATGTCAAGTCCCCAAATCACGCAAATCAAATTGATGTCAGTCTCTCCCAAATAACAGCTCCAAACAATTCAAATTTCAAATGTTCTTCTCTCAAATCTCTCCTAAATCGTAACAGATTCAAAAAGAGTTGACAATTTTATATTGTTATGTATCACATACCAAAAAAACTATGAATATGATATACACTGATTTATTTATAAAACAGTGTTGCAGATACTTAACAACATTGAGGCTGAAGATGCATCCTTCTTCAACTAAATTTGTAGATGAAAAAGCTAAAAAAGTAAAAAAAAAATAAAAATCGATTCCTGATAAAGTGGAAAGGAAAAAAATGGATGAAGAAGAAGATGAAGAAGAACTACTCTTCAACAATTTGCAATCTTAAATCGGAAAGAGAAAAAAATTGAAATTCAAAAATAGAGTGATGGAGATAATTAGTGATATGTTGGAGTAATTTTAGGCGTGAAAAAGAAAAAAAATTGGGTGATAGTTTACTTCGAAAAGTGAGAAATTTTTATAGTTTTTTAAAAATAGTAAGAAATAATAGAAAATACCATAAAAAAGATGCATAATTAGGTAATTTTATATATAAAATTTCATGCAAATAGCTAATCAAACCGCCAAGTC